TTTTTTGGCAGTCGTGGGGCGCCCTGGAGACCGGAGTAGGACAGGACATGACCCGATTTTCTACAGGTGGCCTAGGTCTAGGTTGTTGTCACCCGGCCCCCGGAAGAAGGACCGCTGTTGCCTTCTGTGATGCATGTGGTGAGTCCATGATTTTCGCACCAAAACTCGGTTTTTAGTTCTGTGCTGCTCTCGAATCATTTGACCGGGAGCACGGGTTAAAGCCAAGACAGGTGCAAATGCAACTAAGCACAGATTGGTGGTTCTGTGTACCATCGGCATGCCTCCGCTCCACCGCCTTCTTGGACTTTGGAGCCTCGCATCAAACCAGCATCCAGCATGGGGATGGATATTATGCTAGGAAAAGGAATCTGATCTGAAAAGAATTGATCTGTTTCTGGATCTTCCAAGTGGATCTAATCTGTGTAGATTCAGCATGATACTTCATGATATTTCAACAAGAAGCAGTTCCTCTTCCAAGTCAAAGTCGTCTCACATAGCTCATCCTGATCCCTCGGCACAGCCTCCAAGACAGACTTCACATAGCCCTTGGTCAAAGGCTTACTGCTGGATGCACTCTTCCACCTGCACAAACAGTCTGAAGATCTGCCAAGTTCCCAGGCCGCCGGATGAAATGGTTCCATCAAGCGCGAGCGTCCAAACTCTCTGGTTACAACCGGTGAAATCCCGCCTGCCATCGGCACCTGAAGCACACAAGCCCCAACCATCCCTATATTTGGGGAGGTTTCAGAGGTCAATGTAGGGACGCCGTGATGAGCTTGGCGCCTGTTGAAGATGCCGCGCTTCTTTGGAGTGTTTGGGAAGATTTTCCAACCCAAATCATCCGAGTCTTCTCAAATCTTCTTCGCAAGGTCAAAGCAACAAAGCACCCAGCACGACGTACGCCAAGACCCCCGCATGATGGGCTAAACGTCTTGCGCGGCCAAGTATTGTTTTATATTTTCTGGTCACCCGAAAGCTTAGCATACATGATTGGTCACATGGCAAACCGTTTCTCTTGTTACAGTACGTCTTCATGGCTCTGAAAAGCATCTTCAACTGGGGCCAACGCTCGACACTCCGGATTTCTCCGCCACCTCATATGCAAAACTCATGGCTTGAGCAAAAACAAACGATGCTGAACATCTGCAGGAGGTTGAAAGACACTCTAAAGACCTAAGGGGCATCCTTGCTTTTGAAAGTTTTTTGCTGAACGGGTCCTGGCTGGCGTCCCGTGGCTTTGGGGTCTTACTTTACCAAAACTGTCCAGTTCAAAGGCTCAAACGTCCATGGTCCGCCGCAAGAGCTCCAACTTGGCTTCCATCTGCTTCGCCTGAACGATCTTGGCGACCCAAGAAAGCGTGCGGATCTGAACAAAAACAAGCCAGTCAAAAAAAACACAATAACAACATCGGATTTCCCCTCAAAGCAGTAGCTGCGTGCAAGGTCACCATATTGGCCATGTGGATCACTAATGTGACTCTAGTGGATCGACAAACAAACTCGCAAAGGTGACAACCTGACTCGTCACCCCAACCTGACTTGAAGAGAAAATGGAACAAGCGACAAAGAAAAGGTGCTCACCAACTTGCGAGGATTCCAACAAATTCTTTGTATAGCTTTCGGCGCCTCTTCTTCCATCCGCCGTGAGTCATCTTTCCGGATGGTGACAGCTTTGGCCTTGCCATCCGAACCCTCACCACAACATCGAGAGCGGAAGGCGCAAACACACCCAGCGAGCTCTCAAACACATGTTTGCAAACAGGAACTTAGTAGATCACCCTTGAAATGAAGCAGGAACTTTCGACTGAGTTGGGCAGTTGGAGCTTCACCCTTTCGCTTGATCCATGTCTTGTTGACTCTGCTGCTATGCGATCTATGTCTCTGATCGACCCATCAAATGTGGTCCTCAACTCAATCCCACCTGGACATAAATGTGAGCAAGCGCTGCAAACTTAAACGAGCTGGTGGATCGTGTACATGTGAAACCCATTAAAGAAGACAAAGTTGACGGAACTGAGGAGCGAGCTCTGGACATTGTGCTCAAACCGGCATGTGGCAGGTCATGTGTGATTTTATCAAATTTCTACCACCCCTGACTCATGACTGCGACCGTTTTTTTGTCTGGGTGCATCGAATGGGTATCAACATGAGGCATCTGCTATGATGTGGTTTGCTTTGCATACCGTTGCATACTCATCAACGAGCTTGGCGAGACCGATGAAAACTGCGCATGGCATGATCAATGCTGATGTGCTGCCATGTGCTGCCACGCTGGCTGATCAATCCGTGTCTCTTCATCGGCCGGTACAGCATGACACGGCCTATTTTCGTCTATCGTTTGACATGTGTTCAGTATTCAGTCGATTCAGTCATTATCGCATCTTATAGCTTGATCATGCTTTTTACAGTCGAGTCTTATATACATTATCCAAGCTTCATGACCATCTGAAAGCAATCGACATGAGTGAAGGTAACCACAAGAGAACCGCGAGGAATATTTCAAACAAAGAAGCAGCTCCCGTGGAATGTTGTGAAACCAAAAAGTTGCAGAGCTGCACGCTAGGGTGGAGGCCATCGCTATTAGGTTGGAGGCCATCTCTACTAGGCCGGCACACATTCGTCTTGCCCAGCGCCGTCGCTTTTTGTTGCGCTCTGGAAGACGATTTTCTGCAAGGCGATGCGCTCTGGTGACCCAGGGACATCGGGTGAAAAACATCTCCGGTCACCGGGCACCACTTCTAGGTCGCCAGCGTTTCAACCACTGGTGACCTAGAAGTGGCTAGGTATACTAGGTATGGATCAAGCTGCAGCTCTCAACGTCGAAGGTGGATTTCAGCAACAGGTCGAAGCTTCTCTTGGGCCACATCAAAATGGGTTGAATACAACATAACCCTAAGGCTCCAGTGGTACCTTCTGAGAAGGTGGGACTGGGGTGGGTTTAGAGGGTCCAGATACTTTCTGAGGAGGTACTTGGAGCCCTATAGGGTAATACAACAACTTCCAGACTGCACTGAAAAGGGCCCGCACGATTCGCATACGACACATAGGTCTGAGACCAACTTGAAGACCAACTTGCAGACTCCCACGAAAAGAGAACTGCACCATGGGCCAATGGGCTCTGTGACGATGAACATGGCGATGATATGCCGATGAGCTGCGACATAGCAGCACCGCCCTCATCGACATGAGAGGACAAATGATCGACAAACGATCCTCTAAGCTCAGCGGAAATACTCCAAGCGATCTCAAGCATTTTTGACGAAGCTCTGGTGCCTTTCTCAAACGTCATCCGTCTGCCGTACTTGAACTCAGTGGGTCAAAAACAAACCCAGCCTGAGAACCCTAAAATGGCCCCAGTATGGAGTCAGTCAAAGGGTTTCATAAGTGGCTTGGGTCCAAAATGTATCCGATCTTAGCCCAAAGTGGCTATGACCAAATAGCCACTTTGCACTCAGATCGCACTTCACGTCGCTCTCCGCGTGCGAAGCTGCTTGCTTCTTCCTTCCCGCGGCCTGGAGGCGGGACGAGAGTGGAACGCTGAGATGGGCCTGGATGAGCTGCAAAATGGAAACAGCATGCACAACCATTGTGTGCACACAGTGCACACATAACTTATGTGCAGACATGTGACATAACTGTAGACCGGCGTAAGCACCTTCTAAAAAATGCGATGCCTCGTACAGGAAGTATAATACTTCAGATCAGCAAGATTGATCTGTCGTGTCACCCATCACCCCCTATGCGTTCGAACTCTTGATCCACTCCCAAAACGGCAAGTCCCTTTTCTCCAGAATCTGCAAACAACTACCAGTACAGAAACTCCACACTCCGTTTCTTCATCCGTTTCCTCTGCCCATGCTGGCATGGTCTGCTACTTCACTTAACCTTTTCCATTGCGATGATCATCACTGGCAAGCAGGCGAGCATTTGCACTCAGAAAAAGCGTCACCTCTTTGGTTCCGATACCGGCCACTATACCTCCGTCGCACTTCCAGGGGACCGATGGCGGATGAAGGGCGGACGGGCCGGCGGACTTGAAGACGGAAAACAGGAGGTGTTTGGATGGGTATTTTGGAGCCCCAACAAAAACATCTGCAGAATCGGCAAAGAACAGTTCTGAGAAATCCAAGCACGTGACAATCCTGTCTACACATCTAAGCTCCTTGAAACCCCCAACTCTACTACCTCCTTACTCCATTCGCTCCATTACTCCCTGGCTGAAACGAGCTACTTCGCGGCGGTCTTGTCGCCACTCAAGAGCTCCTTGGGACATTCGTAGGAGAACACGTCCACCTTCTCCAACGCAAGGTCACCGTGACCGGAGATGCACTGGCCGGGATCAATCTCCTTCACCTGGCGGTTTGGTCGTATTAAAGCAAACGACTACGGAAAGGACCCGTGGGCGTGGGCCTTGTGGCCTTGTGACCGACCTGTTGATGGTCGACTTGATGGGGCTCCATGGCCGACCTGTGAGGTCTTCGGTCCCGTGTCGTTTCATTTGAAGCGATCTTTAGACCCGGTCAACCCATCCGAGACCGAGGACAGTACGGCCGACAGAAGCAAGTCACATACATTGCAGTCCCGGCGGGACAAAGTCGAGTGTACTTCTTCTCAATGCACTGGCTCTCATGAGTCTGCTTGCGGTTCGTGCCCCATATCCAGCCAAAGCGCCTGCCTTGGGAGATGGCATATGACGGCGTGGGTAGCTGCATTCTCTATTTGACCACCAAATAGTTGCAGAGAAACACTTGGAAGCATTGGCCTGTACTCTGAGTGCCCCAACCCAAGAAAGGGGATTTTGGAAAACCAAACGACATATGACCGTCATCGACAAAATGACCTGACTCTTGTTTTGGCATCAAGTCTGGGGTGTGCCAATACATCTGCTCAGGCATTTGTCCATGCGACGATGCAATCTCTGGCATGTATTCATCTTGACATCTGTCCACACATCAAAGTCTTGCACCTAAATTGATTCTTGTTCTATGTTATCACCTATGTTCTGACACAGCTCTGACCATGCAATCTGCCCTTTGCCGTGGCATGTACTCTGACATATGTTCTGACATCAAGACTTGCATGTGTTCCAACATGTGTTTTCGCGAAAAGCGTTCTAAAGAGACAAATATTATTACATTTGATCCGACCAGGTCATATGACCTGAATGCGGTCAGAGTCTCGTCAACGATGAGAGTTGTACAAAAGAGACATTAGTCTGGATAAGATAAGATATGATAGGATACTTGTGTGGGCGTGGGTTAATAATTAAGAACATCCAAGTGTTTCAAAGAGACAAGCCTCATTCTACATATTATATACATATATAATTAAAGGACCGGATAACCCCACATATGAATCTTTACGAATCTTAAGTTTCTAAAGCACAAAGCAGTCAGAGTCTCAATAGCTTCTACAACACGGCCTTGTCAGGAAGTGATATCAGCTTCCGACAACAGAGGGGTGGGAGAGAAGGTGTAAGAGAGTGATGTGCACGACGGATGTACGAGGTATTGTGCACACAGGTGTGCGCAGCCACAACTAGCCAACGACACCAGCGGTTGTCGCACGTCCGCAATACGGGGCATAATGTACGAAAGTTATACTACAAAGTCGCCAGTTCTCAGCTTCCAGCTCCACAGATTGCTCC